ATCAAAAACATAATTAATGTGCACAAATAAGGAATAGTTGTATCAACCATATACATGGAAATAGAGTTTTATGGGGCCCCCAGGAACTTTTGGCCCTAGTATTGCTTAATGGTAAATCCCTGCTTGGCCCTTTGTGCTCAAAATAATTAATGTGGCTTCAGTAAGATTTTAATATGAAGTTAATATCCACAGCTGCAGCCTGATCAGGACACTGACTTGTTTGTTTGTTTTTTTTTCCCAGGCTACCGCTGTTTCAAGATGGTCATGTTCTTCTCAGGGTTTATGTTTGCATCATCAGCTGTGCTCCTGTTCTACCACAATGAGCCTGAATTTACCAGTCAGCTGAGAGAGGACACCAAGGCGGGCATCGGCCTGGGAGTCGGGGTGCTGTTTGGGTTGTTCACCATGCTGGTCTCCACGTTGGGTCTCATCCTCAGTGGCCTGCAGCTTGGATGCCTCCTCTCCCTCCCCTTGCTCGTCGTTGTTGCACAGTTTCACAGCCTGACTCCAGTGTGGGTTCCTCTCTCCGTCACGCTGGCTGCCAGCATCGCCGCCACTGTCTTCACTCTGCAGTGGCAGAGGTTGTTCAGCATTTTCTACTCCTCTGTGTTTGGCGCTACGACCGTGATGCTGTGCGTGGACTACATGGTGGGGGCGTTTGTGCTGCCTCACCAAGTGTACTACATATTTAGTCAAGTGGCTCCAAGAAAATTCTGCTGGTTTAACTGGGCCATCACTGGGATCTGTCCTGTTCTGAGCATCATAGGTGTGCTGGTGCAGTGGTGGTTTACAGCAAGAAGAGTTTCACACACTGAAGGTGAGTTTAGTTCAGTCTGAGCTAAATAAGTTCACAACTTGAACTTTTTCGTATTGTGTCACAATATGATATCTGAGATAAGCCAACGAAATATAAGATATGATAAGCTGCAAAATATGCACTTTGAACAACATTGCTTGTAAGATATAAGGAAAAAATCATATGTGCAAACATTTTCACTTCCAGAGGTCAGAGAGAGGGGAATAAGTGGGGGTACCATCTTTGGACAGGTTGCCAGTGTATGATGGAGGATAAGGGCCAGGCTAACCTCTCAAAACACACCGTTTTATAGCGTTTACAACTAATAACTCAGAATGCATAAAAATTACACTGGTAAAATGTTTACAATATAGACATGTTGGAAAGCTTAGATTCTCCACAATTCAACCACCAAGTTCACTTTATGGACCCAGCGAGCACCAAAGCACAATTAACACAGATATAGCAGCATGTCAAAATGTAAACATGACAAAGCAGCAACAACAAGCAAGCAGGTCTTTATTACTGCTGTTCAAAAAAGACCAATTATTTTCTAGGATAAAAGAAACAACTTTGAGTCACTGTGAGGGACCGAGCCAAAAAATCAGAGAAGCACAGGGAAGTCATTGATGAAAAATAGGTAACAAATTTATTTAGCAAAACTAAAGTTCAAACTTCAAACAAGACTGGGCACATCAAGGAAAACAAATGACAAAAGTCAGCATAAATCAAACCTGACACAGGAAAAGACCCACACCAGGGAAACATATATATATATATTGATCAGACCATTTTGAAACAAGAGGGAAACAAAATATATTTTCCTATAGAAAACTGCAACAAAAGACCAAACTAACAGTGTTGGGTACGTTACTTTGAAAAAGTAATTAGTTATAGTTACTAGTTACATGTCCCAAAAAGTAACTGAGTTAGTAACTGAGTTACTCCACAATAAAAGTAA